CATTGCAAGAAGCATATGAGACGAGCTAAAGACCTGCATCACCAGGCTTTTTTGGATCTGGAGTCAAACCAGTCTTGGGTTGAGTTTCTTTGCGCTTGGGTTGATCTCTCTTTGGCGTCGAAACCTGCATTGCACTGAGCTGAGCTGCGAAGGCCTGCTGTTTGGCAGCACGCGCACTTTGCTTAGGTATCGCTGGATTTGCTGAAGATGTTGCACCGGTATTTTTGGCTTTGGCCTGTTCTTTGGCAACACTGTTGAGGGCTTTGATGTGAAATTGTCTCTTCACTCCGGACTGCACGTAATAGCCAGATGCCAGTTCACCTGGCTGAGTGGCTAGCCAAACGCCAGTACCATCGTCCACGTAGAGAACTTCCACTTTTTGGAAACCACGCTCCGTGAGCCATGCCAGTAGACCATAGGTGCCAACCGTATTGTCAATGCCATAGATTTTCCATCGTCCGAGATCAGAAACATCTAAAATGGAATGATTGGCAGCAAAATCTTTGAGACGATTGACATCTCTGAAACGTATGGCGTATTTTGGGCTAGCTGCATGTCCTTTACGGACCACTCCAAAGGCATCCTGGTGTTCTGCGAGCTTAACAGCATCTTGCAGCGACATGGCATCATCGAGCCAAAGAAGCAAATACTCTTGAGCAGGAGAAACTTCTTTGTAAAATACAGAATGTTTCCCCGAAGCGCGAAGCAAATTGTCTGTGAAATCTGCATGTAGAAGACATGTCGCAGTGTCATTGTGGCGAGGCTGAATTTCTGCCACAGCTTCGGCAGGAACATGGCGTTCCAATTCAGTGAGGACGAGGGAAGCTGGAATGGGGCCTTCTGGCCATCCCAAGGCAGTTGGAAACTTGCATTGAAAGCGACACATTGTAAACATCATAGGTACTTCTTCTCCTTGCATGATCTGCTCAACAGGTGGACCCCAGCCTAATTGTACAACGTACCTTTTTGCACTCGTGATCACTCGTTCTCCTCCAGGTCCCATTGTGCTGAGATTGACACGCAGCAACTTCCGATCATATCCGACCAACCCCAGGGTGTCCGGATCTTGAGTAAGTACCGCCGCGATACTCCTCCCACTGAAACCAACCTGTCTGATGACTTCCGGAAGAAACATCTTCGGCACCACAGCAATAGCATCGCTTTTCCCTAATGATTGCCAAGGAAGCGCACCGCCACACTCCACTCAGAGTCAAGGAGTGTTGTCTGTGCCCGGAGACGGGCGGCATCAGGTAATGCCATCTGCACTTGTTGTCTTATGTCTGCATGGAGGTCGGTTGGAACAAGGGGGGCAGCCTCAACAGGTTGTTGCTCATTGCTGGCATTAGGCTTGCCAGGGAATTTTCCCCGACCCTTTCCTTTGGCTTTGCTGCCACCATTGCCGTTCAGGCCATGCATCAGACGGTTACGTCTTTTCCGTGTAATGTGTCAAATGGAGGTGTTCAACTTACTGAGCAAACGATAAGGAGACTGAAAAATCGACTCTCGAAAAGAGACGTGCAAAGCCATGGTGTCACCAAATTGCTTGGTAGACCACGACATCTGGATGCACAACATGATTCCAAAGATGGTAGTGGTCTGGCAGAGAAATCTATTGCAGCACCACTTTTTGTTGATTCTCTTTTTGGCATCTCTGCATCGCCTCTTCTGGACAAAACGACATGGCATTGGGTACATTGATATGGATCGACGTTGTGCTCTGGCACATAGGTTGCGAATTGATTGCAAAATGAAAGAGAAACACGTGACGAAGGCATTGCATTGGTTGAAATAACAGAAAGCAACAATCTGCATGGTGGGATATGAAACAACGTCATTGAAGGGTTCGACCACACAGGTCAGAGTGAACAAAGCCCAAAAGGCTCGGAATAGAACATGAAACGACATGAAGTGTGAAATGTGACTGGCACGGTGCTTGCGCTGTCTCATCTCGTCCTGATGCTCTCCCACCTCCGGTACGCAAGCGTCATCAGGAGTCGAAGATGCCGGAGCTCCAAAAGGATCCCACAAGGCAAAGGCGTGCAAAGGCACTGTAGAAGCAGCCTCAGCAGCTTCAGCTGCAGAAACAGCAGTCCCTAATTTTATAGTGGGGATATGTCATGATATGATATGAAATGATATGTGATGATATGTGGTGATTTGATGGGATTTGATGGGATTTGATGGGATTTGATTGCTTCTTACATCGTGCTTCTACATGCTTTAAGAAAAAACAAAACATGCCAAAAAAATGTCAGGTTTTGGGTGGACCTTGAGGGCTGCAATTTTATAGTCCCTAAAAACTGCCTTCGATCAGGGGCTTTCTATAGGGGGGGTGCTCTCCAAAAGGATTCCACGAGGCAAAGGCATGCAAAGGCACTGTAGAAGCAGCCTCAGCAGCTTCAGCTGCAGAAACAGCAGTCCCTAATTTTATAGTGGGGATATGTGATGATATGATATGAAATGATATGTGATGATATGTGGGGATTTGATGGGATTTGAAGGGATTTGATGGCTTCTTACATCGTGCTTCTACATGCTTTAAGAAAAACCAAAAAATATGTCAAACAAATGTCAGGTTTTGGGTGGACCTTGAGGGCTGCAATTTTATAGTCCCTAAAAACTGCCTTCGATCAGGGGCTCCAATTCTATAGGGGGGGTGCTCTCCAAAAGGATTCCACGAGGCAAAGGCATGCAAAGGCACTGTAGAAGCAGCCTCAGCAGCTTCAGCTGCAGAAACAGCAGTCCCTAATTTTATAGTGGGGATATGTGATGATATGATATGAAATGATATGTGATGATATGTGGGGATTTGATGGGATTTGATGGGATTTGATGGATTTGATGGCTTCTTACATCGTGCTTCTACATGCTTTAAGAAAAACCAAAACATGCCAAACAAATGTCAGGTTTTGGGTGGACCTTGAGGGCTGCAATTTTATAGTCCCTAAAAACTGCCTTCGATCAGGGGCTTTCTATAGGGGGGGTGCTCTCCAAAAGGATCCCACAAGGCAAAGGCATGCAAAGGCACTGTAGAAGCAGCCTCAGCAGCCTCAGCCGCTTGAGCTGCAGATACAGCAGCCTTTTCAGTGTCGTCGAGCTTCTCTTCCTTGGCATGCAGCAGGTTGCTAATTTTATAGGGTGTAGGAATATATAGGAGTTCAAGTCCCTAACTTTATAGTGTTGTGTGCGTAGATTTTTTGGATATTTTCAAACGCAATGATTACAATTTTCTTGGGCAATGTCTTTCAATGATTACAATAGTTGGTTTGAAATGGTTTGACTTTTGTGCCTTCGATTGATGACCCAAAAACTTCAGTCGACAGAATTGGGGCATTTTTAAATTGAGATAAAATTGGGGACCACATAATCGAAGGAAAATAGAGGGCCCCCAAAATTCGACTTGGGACACCAAATTTTAATAAAAAACCACCTATGACCAAGCCATTTTGGATGGCCCTAATTTTATAGAGGCCAATTTGGAGCTAATACCCTGCACAAGTTTAACCTGGGCACTGCAATTTTGTAGTGTTTTTGGGTTTGATGACATTGATGGGTTACTAGCAGGTTGTGATTTTATAGGGCTGATTATGTATGTGTCTGTCAAGATTTTAATTTTGTAGAGGGTCCCAAAAGGGCATTTTCAAAGGATAGGCCTGGGCCTCCTATAAAATTGGAACGCCCAGGTTAAACCCGTGTATTGGCAAGGGGATATGATATTATGATTTGATAAATGGATGCAAACTCATCATTTCTAGATATATCACAATGGTAAGATTATCAAATCATAATATCATACCCTCTGGTTATTTAACATAGCCATGGAAAATGGCCCTTAGATGGTTTACCTATTAAAAACGGTGATTTTCCATGGCTATGTTAAATAACCAGAGGGTACAGTAATATCTATATATCATAATATTTCTTGTATAAGACATTTGTAAGTTGATGTTGATGGTTGGTTTACTGGATTAGTCCCAGCAGCTTTTCGGAGTTCATGAAATCCCGCCCCTACTTCGTTTTGGGCCCCAACCATGAACACATCCAGTACCCTTTGGTAAACTTACATAACTATGGACCAGTTTTAATGGGAAAACTCACTATAAGTGGTGATTTTCCATAGTTATGTTAAATTACCAGAGGGTACATAAACCAGCGTTTCGTTTCGGTGTACTTAGTTGAGGGAGAAGGGCTGATATAACTTTTCTGAACGAAATGTTGGAGACCCAAAGCGTGCTTTCTTTCGCATCATTTTGGGTACCCCCATGTTAAGAACCACAAAATTTGATCGAATTGTGCATCTGCGCTTTGGAAATCTACTCGGATTTTGTTGTTAAGACAATTTCGTGCCCTGGCGTTTCCTGCAGTGTCCTGCAGGGCTGTGTTTGCCAGAGTTAACAATTCTCTCACATCTCCTTACTAATTACTAACATTATTAGTTACTGCAAATTGTTTTGGTACATTTTGGTACATCTTGTGTAGATGTACTAGCTGGATCATGTTACACCTAGTCACTCGAATTTCAAGCCCCAAACCAACAAGGGATTGATGACTTTTTCGCTAGCCACCTCCCCGAAATCGTGAATATTTGACGGTGGTAGATTTGACTAATTGGGTTCCCATTGTTTCAACTCCCACGAACAGACCAGAGTTTAAACTTCTATAAATGCACACTTGCAAAAAAGAGCTTTTGCGCGTTTGATGAATGTGCACGGTTTTCACCTTGTGACCTTGTTTTGTCGCTACATTTGCTAACTCCAGTGTGATTTCTTCCGCGTCTACTTGTGGATTGAGATATCAAATGGGTAGGGGCGAGCAACTTTGAGTTGAGATGTTTACTCCCGAAGTTTGGAGATATACCCGTCATCAACCCCAATTGAGGAATATTGAGGACGGTTTCCCAAAAATTAGGCCTAGTTATATATCAGATACCCCGGTTACATGTAAGTTTTTTAATCCACCATATCCAGTCCGCGCCGCCGAATTCAACAGTTGTCCTTCAGGCGTGTGAGAGCCACTTCGTGCTGCAGGTTTTGAAGGCTCGGGGAGCGCAACAGGCGCAAGTCCCTGCTGATCAGATCCTTGGAAAACTTTGCCTGGACCGTCCAAGTACTCACAAGATTTTACAATACTGGTTGGTGGTTTCATTTTCTTTATTTTCCATAATGTATGGGATAATCCTTCCCATTGACTAATATTTTTCAGAGGGGTTGAAACCACCAACCAAAATATTTGACCTGTACTTTCACGTACTTTTTTACATACAATCTTGTTGGGGATAGGGCGTGAAAGAGCCATTCTGGATCAAAAATAAATAAGTATATGAAAAGAACAGGAAAGAAGGAAGGAAGGATGAAAGGGAGGAATGAAGGAAGGAAGGAAGGAGGGAAGGAAGGAAGGAAGGAAGGTTCTTGTATCAAGTTTTTTGTTTTCAGTCTGGCTTCTTGGCTTTTGTGGCTCTTGTGACTTTTGTGGTTTTTGTGGCTTCGTGGCTTTTGCGCCTTTTGTCTTCTCGGCTTCTTGGCTTCTTGGCTTCTTTGCTTTTGGGCAATTGTTGCTTTTGGCTTCTGGTTTTTCATGTTTTTTCTTGCCCCGTGTGGTTTCTGGCTGTATGCTGTATCCAATGATCATATTAGAATTGTTTCCAAGGTTGCATTTTGGAGCATAAATATCGGAGAGGCTTTTATGACTTTAATATATAATCTAAGATTGGCTTTCCTCAGAGAAATTGTCCGCGGGCTTTTTCATGCGACCAGAGATTGAGACGAGCAGACTTAGCTCAGGAATAACTTTGCCAAGCAACTCGGCGTTCTGAAGATTCTGGTCAAGATTCTGAAGGCGCCCAGCACAAAAATGGGATCCTCACCGCAATCCATCGCATTATGCGGTGACTTTCTCTCACATCCTTGCGCCCACCCCTAGAGTCCTTAGAACATCTAATCTCAAAGAAGCAGCTCTCCATCTTGCCAAAGAGGGTTCTTGCTCAAAGAGTGTCAGGATTTGTGAAGGGTTTGTGTGTCGACATCCACATCATCGCCAGGACCCGCAGCTGCACCACAACACGCAGAGAGGGGGCACGTGTACAACCAGACAGCTGACAAATATCACTCACTTGTCCACCAAATCGAACCTGTTTTGGCAGCATCCTGGACCAAAGGTCGATCTTTTCAGGGAGCCTTGAGGGCGGGGTTGTTGGACGAAATCCGAGATGTGCAAAGCTGGTTGGACACGGTCTGGAGTATCAGCATCAAACAGCATTCCTTTCAGTTCTCACACTTGGTATCCCCCTTCGGCAGTCGCTTATCTGAGATGTGGTCATGAATGATGGCCACGGTCCAACTCAAATATCTTCTTTGCAACCTTTGTTTTAATGTTTCGTGTTAGATATCACGTGGGTTCAGTTGCCACAGCTGATTCTCAACTGTCCCAGGCTCTTCTACTATCTGTTCGATCCAACTAAGAACGCACCTTCGGATGAGAAGAGGTGCATCCACACAACCAGGACGACGAGCTGATGACATCTGACGACATTTGGTGGGAGAGCCTTTTCTTATCTTTTCTTTAGGTACTATGGCCCGGCCGTTCGGATCTGGTCAGGATGAGCGTATGACCTGTTAGCCTGTTAGCCTTGTTTCATGCCTTCCCAGGTTGCGCCATGATCAATGCGATCTCCAAAGTCATGCCATGTGCCAAACTTAAACAAGCAATGAAAATCAAAAGGCCTGATGGGCGCTGCAACAACAATGAGATGATGTACTGCGTGACCCACAACCAACAGAACGACAGGTCGAACTATTTGGGTGCATGGAAAGGCTTGTGGTTGGAAGGTCCGCTCAGTGTTTGGTAGTATTGGCTAAGACTGAGTGAAGTTATCCTGAATAAGAATCACAAGTCCGTAGAGGTTACCACATAGCACAAAGCGATATATATAAATATATATAAATTATATACACGTCACATTATATCTATATTGATTTTGGTTGTATGAACCAAAATGCACCGTATACTTACTACTGGTAGCCTGGCATATCAACAGTTGAAGCATGTTTTTCCAGTGACCTGGAGATGACCAGGACGAAATGTGCTGCGGTGATCTGGGCATTGAGCCTCGCTGCGGTGGGATGATTGGGATGTGCTTTTCACTGAGGCGTAAAACGCAGGATTGCCAGGCCAAGTGATTATAGCCAAGTATAGCCACAATTGGTGGAAAGTTGCTCATGATTCCATCTTTTTTTCCTCTGATCTACCCAATTTTCACCCTTGCATCTGGGGTGTTGGGAGCAACCATGTTTGGGGTTTACCCTCTGAGAATTTAACACAGCTATTAAACATGGCCATTTATAGTTGATTTACCAATTAAAATTGGGATTTTCCATTGTTATGTTAGTTTACCAGAGGGTATCATATTTGATCATATTACTATAAAATGAACATGGTACCAGTGAACGAAGTCATTTATGGGTAACCAGCAAGCAGGTCAGACCCCCTGGCAGCCAAGGAATTTGACCCCTGACTGTTGGATAGATGTGCCTGTAGAGGCTCAGCGCGAGATGCCTGGCTGCGTTGGAATTGCATGGCCTATCTGATATCCTAGCATCAAAAACGGTAGCTATCCACAGCTATCTTCTCTCTGTGAAATACCACCGCCCTGGGTAAACAAAAAATTCGATGTGAAGACCATTGAAAACCATGGTTTCCTGGCTATTTCTTGGATAAGCAAACCCCTCTTCGCGAAGGATTGCTTGCCTATCAGCAAAGTCGAAGAGCAACGTCACCGAAGAAGCGAAGAAGATTTTCCAGCCACTCTGTGGCGAAGTGTTTTTTTTGGTTGGTGCAACCCCAAAATATTGTGATTTAACACATTCAAAGTACTGAATATGTAGTTATCTAAAATTGGCTTTGGCTGGCAATTTTTGTGTTTGCCTATTGCCTAGAAATGGAGAATTACCATGAATTCACCACCAATCTATTGCTGAATTGCCGTGCGCAACTGATCATCAAGCATTGGATTATTTTTCGGTTCCGCTTGTGCCTTCCCTTCAAAATCGAGTAATTACCGTAAGGGCCGTAAGGGAACCCCAAATTGGCCAATGACGTCGTCGATTGGGGATCATCCCTCCGCTTTACACATTCGAAGATGACCCTTTTTTATCCTTTTTTCACTCCAAACCATCCAGACTTGGGAAGGTATACCCACTGGGTCACTGCCACCGGAGATGGTATCTATATATATATACACATATACACATATATTATTATACATTGAGTATATATATAATATAACTATATTTTATATTATATATACATGTATGTATGTGTGTGTATTGGAATGATTTACTTTTCTTATCTACTGCACCAGTTGCCTTCCCCAGAAAATCTTGGGCGTCCTGGGTTAGTGCCAGAACAACTCGAACCGCCAAGATGCATGACTGAGTGCACCATTTTTTGGCTGCTTAATGAGGATTCCACGTGAAGTTCATCTTCACCAGAAAGGGGTATATATATATTATACATTCAGCCATGGAGTATATGATGTTCCTGAAATATATGTGACTTGTATGATACTACTGGAATATGATGGAACACGTATATAATTATATATACATGTATGTATATGTATACATATATGATCATATATGTGTATGTGTATGTATATGTATGTGTGTGTGCGTATGTAGTGTAAATATACGTATATATACGTATAATGTTCCCTGGAATCTAAGCCATGACAGAGTTCTGTGCTGTGGATCCCAGCTGGATCCCGATCCCAAGGTACGTGGGCTGCACCACTGAAAAAAAGGACCAAAACTCCTTCAGAGCGCCTTTCCGGTGATGCCTCTGGCTATGACTAACATAGCCATGTGGCCCTAATCGAAATAGATGGTTTACCGAACTTAGAAATGGTGGATCTTTCCATGGCTATGTTAAATGACCAGATGGTAACTGTGAAGCTAAATCGGTGGTGGAGATTGAGGAAATCAATTCTTTTACAGCCATGAATTTAGCATTGCAACAAAGATGATGTAATGGATGAAGTATATTTAACCATCAAACATGGTGACTTCACCAACACACATGCTGGTATAATCGAGATTGGTAGATATTTAATGAATTTGACTGGATCATGATCTGGAGAAATCTGATCACGACCTCGTGTTGCGACTTTGCTGGAATGATAGGAGGCTGGTGAATATGCACAATTTGCCCCCAGATTGACACAATGAAATGAAGTATTTGGACCTGATAGTTGACACATGTTTCAATTGCAACCTTCAACTTCTGGGTTTACTGGGTTTGTCAACATGGTACCGCATTCCAGTGGTTGATCAAACCATCATTGGGGGGCGGTGTATATCCCATTCTTAAACACAGCCACCCTATTCTTGGTCCTTCAGTGTCCTTCATGCCATTTTGCCTCATAGTGGGCCTGGAAATCCCCAGCCAGAGAGGTTTATACCCTCTGGTTATGTCAAAATAGCTATTGAAAATCACCATTTTTAATGGGAAAATCCACTATTCATGGCCATTTTCAATAGCTATTTTGACATAACCAGAGGGTATCTGGGAAAATCATCAAACTGGTGGGGAATTTTTGCGGCCAGACATGGAGCTGACTGAGGCAGCCCTCAGGAACAGGCCAGGCTTTTGAGGCGAGGCCCGGCGCGGGATCAGCTGTGGATTGGTCACCAATCCCTGAATTGGGATTGACATAAGCCATTTGTCAAAAGTCGTCAAAAAATGACACACATATACAAAAATGCCAAATAAAAAAAAAAAATCATTCTAATTAAACCATTTGCTAGGATTTCCAGTATGGGATGAATGACTAGATCCCATATTTTCTGACCATAGCAAATATGCCGAGGTTGGATGTGAGCCGCAGTGGCTTACCATTCCTGGCGAAATCCCGGCTGAACCGACAGCCGTGACACCTGCGGCAATCGCGGGGTCCGTTTCACCCTGGATCACTAGACTCAGCCGACGTTTCATCCTCGCCATGCCTAGAATGCATCAGACAGATGGAAAACATGAGGTGGCCAAAATATCGAGAAAAACATATAAACCCTGGGTTTATCCAAGAAAAAACGATGAAATTTCCCTGAAGCCTTCCATTGATCGGAGATTTCCCATTGCCACGTTTGATTACCGGAGGGTAAGTGTTAATGTAGTAAGGCCCAACTAGGAGCAACCTCACAGGTGGAAGTTCATGCAAACATGTGCCAAGAATAGGTGGCTGGAAACATCTTCGCTGTTGGAGCTGCCCGGCTCCAAACAGTGAACGTCATCGCTGGTCAGGATGATGTCGCATAGGATGCTGCCAGTTTTAGTTGAGATTGGCAGGTCTCGCAACAGAAAATGCAGGATGGGGTCAGAAAGCTCGGAAGCACTTTGATTGGTGATGTCATGTTGTTTTTTCCCCAAATTGGATCCGAAACCTGAAACTGCAGCCAGCCTCAAATACCAACCAACATCAGATATAAGTAATTTAGCAGGTGCTTGATGGTGCTTGGACATCATGAGTCCAGTGTTTCCCGGGCAAAAAGCATCTATAGAGGATTCCAATGGGAGAACTGTCCAGCATGTCCCCGATTGGACGGGAAAACCTTCTGGATCCTTCTCCCTCGATTGGGGCACGGAAAGCCATGATTGTGGGCATCCCTATGATTTCCATATCCCCATGGATATGCCGATTGAGGGAAAACATGTAGACTTTGAGTTTTGATAGGTAAATCCCATATGCAATATATATATATAATTATATATATATGTATGGGTTATAGAACCTACTAAATCCATTACAACCTTATTTTCCATATGTTGTTCAAGATCTGCCAGGGGACCGATGGTAAGCGAAAACTCCGAAAACACCACGCAGGACTTGTGGCTAGCTGTGCAGCACCTGGGCTACTTCGCTGTGACCCCGGAGGCAGCCCTAAACGTTACACTTGAAACCACCAAGTAATGTGATACTGCTAGTCGTGATTGTTTATTTATGTATATATCCCATGAGATCCCCACCCTTAGTGGCCTGGCTCCGGTCCTCCAACAGTTCGACCGCGCCGGTTGCATCGTCGAACCCTTATTTGAGGGAGGATACTGTACCGGTCGGTTCTTTTCAAGAAATCCTTGGCAACTTTATAAGTTATGAACATTTCTGAACCATGAGCTATCTTAATTTCAGACAGATGAGCGGTTCACTCATCCGGTCCCCGGGGCGGGCCTGGCTGGGAGGCGGTTTGCGAGCGAGCCAAAGAGGTGTCGGGAGCGCCCATCACGGATGGGACGATCAAAAATTGGGAAGTTAAACCATCAAACATTGGGACATTAAACCCCAGAAATTGTGACTAAACCATGAAAAATATGAATTTAGCAATCCACAATGATGGTACTTTCTAGCAAATTAATTTGTCACAGTTTGCCATGGAAAATCGATGAACATGTCCCATTTAGTTCATGATGTGCCGCTCAAAGAATGGTAATTTAGCATAGTTGCAGTGGCAATTTTGCCAACCACGTTGGATAGCAGTGGATTGTGCATTGCTTGGATGAGATTGCTTGGTGCCATAGTGTTGAGAGGGTGTTGGCCATGTGGACCAAAGGTACCAGCACCCAGGATTCATTGGTAATCGGCTTGTTATGCTTGTTCATGAGCTGTCCTGTCAGATATGGTGCCAAAGAAATCAAAGACCCACGACCTCATTACAATCAGCTGTTGAAAACGGTGATGTGTTTTCCATAGTTTCCTGATCATTTGCTGAATGAGCATAACATCATATTAATTCCCACTGAATCACCAATTACCCTCTGGTAAACTAACATAACTATGGAAAATCACCATCTTTAATAGGGAAATCAACTATAAATGGGTCATTTTCAATAGCTATGTTAGTCATTGCCAGAGGGTAAATGCCATTTCGCCGCCCACTAAATCAAGGTGAACCCCCCACGGCACCACGGTCCCAACGAATCGTTTTTCGCGCCGAGGACGGAGTACTCGGCCATGAATTTGGAGGAATTCACCACCTTCTTGGAGAAGTACTCAACGCAAGAACAGGTTCGACAGCCATGATGCCATGGAAAATCTGGTTGGATCTGATTGGTGGTGACTGGAACATGAATGGATTATTTTCCATATATTGGGAATTTCATCATTCCAACTGACTTCCATATTTTTCAGAGGGGTAGGTATACCACCAACTAGATGGAAAGATACTGGGTCAACCGACTGGTTAGATACTTTATACTTTAATCTTTTACTATCAATGGTATAGTACAGCCAGAAATTGGATTGTTTGCCAGGTATCTCAGATTCACCATGGATAAGTGAAACCTAGACGAGGTGAATCAATGCTTGCCACAAGGGGTCAGCAATTCCAGCGGTTGAGGCCTTGCTGGTCGGATCTGAGATTTTCCAGGACAGACAGTCGTCAAACTGAGCAGTTTCAAGTGGTTTGGATTTAAGCTAAAGCCACCCCCCTAATGATGCTGTTCACACACAATGCAGCCACGTTAGGAAAAGCTGACCGGAAACCATGTTTTTAGCTTTTACCATGACATAAGGGAGGTTCCTGCAAATGTTCCCTTAAGCTAATTCTGGGAATTGTAATTAGATGATTCCTTCTTGCAATACAAGATGATCTTCAACACCAGATGCCTTCTGGTAATGAAACATGGCTTGCCGGAAGCTTCCCCGATGATGTTCCAATGTCACAATGTCCATTATTAATCATTATTATCCTTATTGATAGGGGTTTCCCAGCCAGGCATGTTTGATGACACCCGATGGTATTTACCGATTCATACCCGCATTCTAGTTAAGTTGCCGTTCGTCATCCCATTAAATCATATTTGAATCATTCGAATCCCATAATTAGACTCAGACTCCATTGTATAAACTCCATTAAATCATTAAATCACCATTAAAACCCAATGAAACCCCATTAAATGAAACATCCCCCAGATCACAAAACCACCAAGTGCAGAGGCTGATCTCAAGGAAGCCTTTCAACGCCACGCCAAGCACTCCAAGGCGGCCAGTTCGGTCTGGCTTGTGCCTTCAAAGATGGCAGTTGGTGAGAAAACATCTCCAAAACCCATGGTACTTCTAACATCTTATAACTACTAGTAGTTACTGGGTTTTGTTCAGCCACCTCATAACTGGGGGAGCCCACCTTTTGGTAGGGTGGAGTAACAATAGTTGTTTGTCCGCCCGTGGCTCCCTGGCATTTGGTCTCGTGAAGTTGAATTTGTTGACATGTCTGCAGGACCATTGGGAAGATCATAATATGTTCTGGGTAAATTATAACGACCTCACTGCGACCTCACTATAATCATAGTTAGTAAGGGGACTTATCCAAATATGGTTTTATTTCAGGTTAGTGAATTATTATATATTATTATTATTTGCCCAGATATGTTGGTTTGTCTCAGGATCTGCAGGGGTTATTAAAATGCATTGGATTGTTTCAAGATGTGGATTTAACCCCAATGTAACGCCAGTTTATGACCATTTTGTCATGGAGACCACGGTTCAGTTTTTACCACCGAAAATTAGAGGTGTCCTATTCTCCAACAGACCGGACCGATACAGCAGTATAATTATAATTGTATCCTGCCCTGGTATTATGATCCCAATTGACCATATTTTGAGTGCTCTTAAAACATATTGAAACCACCAGCACAGATTGGTTTCAGGTTTTTTGTTTTGGTTATACTGTGGCCAAGTACCAGATCTTTGGATACGGGTTCCTGGCCTTCCCTCCCTTCCCACCCATGGAAGCCGCAAATCCAACGGTTTTTCGACACACTTGCAGCAGACGGTAACTATAAATTTGGTGTTTTTGTCAGCCCGCTGACTTGGTTTCAGTTGGGAATAATTAGCCAGAATTGCCAACATAATTGGGTGTCAAACCAACACCCAATTGTTTTGGCAATTCTGGCTAATTATTCCGTATGAGCCCGCTGAAGAACATACTGTGGTTTTGCGTCAGCTGTTGAAGACAGACTGGTGGTTTCCAAGTTTAGGTTACGTGAAGTATTCTTGGGGGAAGTCAGAAACATTCAGAAACCAGCACGGCTGCGCAGGTGTCGCAAAAGAGCCTCTTGATATTGCTGCACGAAATAGGCGGCTTGAGCAGTCCGAACATTTTTTAAAATGGATCTGTGCAGATGAAGGTAGTGAAAGAAAAGGATTCGGGTTTGAAAATGGGATACTCCAAAAACATGTATCATTATCATGGTGTTCTCACTAGAACATATTAGAATCACATGTTTAGGGGTTTTTAGGGCTACACTATATACATCCTCATTGTCAGAGACATCGTCGTGGACAACACTGACGCAGACCGAGCCAATCACGCAGAACCATACGGAACCCTAGTGGCTTTGAAATGCTTTGAAATGCTTTGAAAACAAGAAGATCATATCACCTATCTATATAATCTGTTTGTGGATGGGTTGACTGCTATGTTTTAACTTGAGCAATTTGAACATATAATTTCATAGCAGCTTGCCACTGATCAGCAATCGACTTCCATATGCGTGCATCCATATACAAAGATAATTTAAATATATATATATATATATACATAATTAGCAAAAATATGTATAGTATGCATAAATAAATAAATAAAAACATATATATGCATAATTTACGCGCACATATATACGCACACACACATACATATTTATATATATATATAGTATGTGTGTGTCTTTTTATGTTAGTTAGTTTATTATTATGAATACTTGTTTTCTATCTGTATATGTATATGTTTGTTTTGTTAGTTTATTATATCCCCAAGATATCTGACGTTTCCATGACCATCCCCCCAACTTTCCCAATCGACCCCCGTCCATGGCGCAGCCTTTTTGCTCCAGGTTTTACGTCGCTGCAGCGAAGCGTCTTTGAAACCTTGACCGCCAGCAGATTGACCATGAAGGCGGCGGGGCACAACGCCCCAGAATATGACTATGGGTAAACGTCCATTTTGGTTTACCTCTGGTAAACCTCTAGTAATAGTCATATCAATATTATTTGTTTGACATAATATGACTTATTATTACCGTTTACGCATTATTATACCCTCTGGTAATGGGTAAAATAGGGATAATAATGAGATAATAATGACTATTCATGGGATAATAATGGGATAGTAGTGACATATACCCTCTGGAAATCTATTGGCCATAGATATGGTAAGTCTATTGACCATAGATAGTTTACCCCCTGGAAAATCCCAATGTTTGATAGGTAAATGAACTATTTCCGACAGTTTACTGTTGAAAACGGCCAATGGAAATGAGGATTTTCCATAGCAAACTGTTAGTTTACCAGAGGGTAAAAACTATATACAATTCGGAAGATGGGGTCGGTATGTATAACTCATGAAAGCAGTGGGTTACCCTCTGATAAAGTGACATAGCCATAGCTATGGAAAATCACCGTTCTTAATAGGGAAATCATTGAATTTTATGGGCCATGTTTGCCATAGCTGTGTGACAATTTCCTGAGGGTACCCAAAAAATCGGGATTGATGATAGGAATCTAGGAATCTGGGAAATCATTACCAGAATGGGCAAATGGGTGATGTTGCCACAGTGAGGTGTTGGCTGAAGGGGGATGGTTTACCACCCAACAGACAGTTTGACTGTGAGACTTTTTGCACGTGTTGGAGGAAGGAGTTTTCTTCCAACCCCTTCTCTTGCAGGGTCTACGTTAGCTGGGGGAATTTTAATGGAAAAAGGTTGTATAGATCATATATTTTATGTTGGCATATAGTTGGGTATATATATAATATACTTGGTATCACATATATATATACTTGGGATCAAATACCATGATACATTCTGGGTGCAGAATGGGATTCATAGTTGATCACACGGGTGGACGCACCATTTCCACTCAAACCCTTTTGGGATATCACCAGCAATCAAAGGGATAAACAATGGAGGAGACGCACTCTCTCTCTCTATATATATGTGTGTGTGTATATACACACATATGACTAAAGACATATCTATGTCTATCTATATAATTATCCATATTCATAGGCAATCAGGCCCAAGTAAAACAAAAGTAAGAGGAGCAAATCCTGGTGCAATTGACTGCTTTCAGAGATGTGCTAAAGTCCAATCCCAAATGGGATTTTATCCGGATTGGCTCGTTGATTCAACGCAAGCGGCCAAAGCCAGTGGGAGGAATTCATAGTGGGGGAAGTCCCTCTGAAAGTGCAGACGCATCAGATGCTTGAGGATTCGTACTCTTGACCATATCCATTTGACCGGGGAAGGTATAGTTACGGCCAAACACCTCGTCTTGCCCGCGCCTGTTGGCCGGCCTTCTTCGTATGAGCTGAAAACGTGGTAAAATATTGGATATTTGAGCATTATGGTTAACTTGATGTTCTAGATCAGAACGCACAGCAGAGGGACCTGTGCGGGTTCGTTCCACATCATCATCATCATCATCATCATCATCATCACCATTATCACCATCATCATCATCATCATCATCATCAATGAAGATCTTCAACGAATATAGAAGTTTAACCTCGGTGGGAGAATTAAACTGTTATTGAAGATCTTCAATGAATGTAGAAGTTTAACGGGGGTGGAAGAATTAAACCCGCCCTTATTGAAGATGTTCAATGAATGTAGAAGTTTAACGAGGGTGGGAGAATTAAACCCTTATTGAAGGCCTTCAATGAATGTAGAAGTTTGACGGGGGTGGGAGAATTAAACTCTTATTGAAGATCTTCAATGCATGTAAAATGACTGTAAAGTTTAACGGGGGTGGGACTTTGATATTCCCTAATACCTTTGTTGATCTTCCCAAGACAAGAAGGTTTTTCCGCGAAACGGGGTGTTTGCGCGTAATTATAACGACATTAAAAGCTCCTCACTATCAATGGTCGTTGAGGGGGTTAATCTCCCAAGATGATGATCAATTATATCAATTGCTTGGAAGTTCCAACTTCTGGACTGAATTATGATTCAGTCACTGAAAATTGTTTGCCTCTTTCATGACATCTGAGGCCATTGCCATGTACAGTAGTGGGTCCGAATGGATTGCAGATAGTAGATTGAATTCTTATCTGAATTTGGTAGAGCTACTGCAAATAGAGGGTATTCGATACTTGCAAATCCATCTCATGTTTCCACATTTCCCCCATCATTTTCCCACATTTTCCCATCTTTCCCCAATGATTCCCATCATTTTCCTACATATTTGGCGAACCATCCAAAGATTGTGTCCGGAAATTTGGAGCGGAGGCACTGACGCTGCCCCAATACTTCCGCTTCCTTGCAGCGCACCGGGCGTCTGAAGGACGGACGGTGCCTCCATGGCGGGGTAATCCCCAAGTCGTCAATGGAGGTTTCAATGGGAAAATCATGATAGGTGGGTGACCCATACTTTACAGTAATTAAGTTACGTCAACATTATGTCGTCACACAGATATCGCACTTCCAGTATTGCAAAATATGGTCAATTATTGGGGATCCAATGTACAATGTTCAATACATGTTTGCTTTGGGATCCTTCATCCAGTATCCAACTCATCCGATTATCTAACCCCAGTCTAACCTCTAGAAGCGAAATAGGTTTGTCCAACTCATCCGATTATCTAACCCCAGCCCCGCAAATTCCAATGATTTATCACCGTTTTCCCCATTAAGAATATCTAACTTGGGTACTTTGGAGTATACCACCCCATTTTCGGACACACCCATATACATATTAAATCATATTAACATATCATTAGCCATCGCCCATGAAATGTTCATGAATGTTCAACCTCATGATATAATTTTTCCCAAGAGATTTCCTAGTTATATTCCAATTCTCATATAACTGAAGCGTCTTGCTGCCAGGCTTCACCGCGGCACAGCTCCAGGGAACTCGCAAAGCCTTTGACCAAGTAAGGGCAGGTGCCACCGCCGCGGCTCGGAGTTTGGGCGAAGCTCAATTCCTTTTTGGAAGATGGGTCAGACAAGCCGATACCTATAACACACACACACACGTGTATATATATATATACACATACATATTTATTTGATTGATTATTTATCAATGTATTTAATATATCCCCATATGTTAATGGATTAGTTTAAGGGAACCTTTGCAAGAACACTGCACAATTATATAGTTGATGGGACAAACCATCGTTTCCTGTAGAATTTTCCTTGAACCATCCATTGGCCCCCGTCGGGACTGTATATATTCAACAGGAGGGTAACTAGCAACACTTGATATGGCACGCCCCAAAAAGATTGAAAAACAACATCCTACTACAAATACTAAAATAGCGTCAGCAGAAACCTCTTCTCCATCTATTTTTTGGGGGTTGCTAAACGGTGAACTAAATACATGACGGTTCTATCTCTTTTTGGGGTGTCAAAAAAACACGGCGAACCATTAGCCATCTGGGCCTGCACCAGGGAGAGAAGAGATCGCTCCGCAAGGGGTGGGTTCAGCACTGGTGGGGCAGCCCAATGGTAGCCCAACGGTTGTCACGGCAGATGGAACAACCAGCGCTATCCACCAATGAACTGATGGAGCTGTTACGAGCGACGTTTTTATGCATATTCTGAAATGGGGAGCCAGTTGAAGTTTGGAACTGAGTTTCCTAAACATATGACAGATAGGGGCAGACGACACTTGATTGAAGCCATGATTTGGCGTGTGGCGTGATGACATGCGATGACATGCTTGACAGGTTCCATGATGCGAATGGGATGGTGAACCCAATCGACTAGAAGATGTTTTGTTCACAGGATTTGAAACTATCAGCCAGTCAGTATGTATGTTCATGTGTAATTATATATATATATAGATATATGCGCAGCCAGTCAGTATGTATGTTCATGTGCATGTATAATACTATATATATATAATTAATTGTGTATGCATGTGTGTGTGTGCGTCTGACATTATATATATACACACCGGTTGGAGATGTTTGAAGGAAGATGGAGTTAAGAGGTATTGTTTGATGTTTTCACAGACATATTTGCTATCATTTTCCGCTTGGTCTGGTAGGTTTATGGCCCCATGTTATACACAGTAGGATCATCACATGTAACAATATCATGGTTTCCTGCTCTTTAAAGTTGAGATTGTGTGGCAAACGCAGCGACACAAACCACCACACATAATATAGCATGTTTATGCATTTTTGCATTCTGGTTGATCGGGAAACCACATTAAAAATCATGAAACCACCAATGTCTGAAAAGTCACCGGGGTATTTCCTGGAATCTTCACTCGTCGTCCCATGGTTTTGCCGGTTTTTTTTCCTGGCAAACACGGCATCATCTCAGCACCGAGGCCCTGTTCTTTGGACAAGACGCCTTTGAGAAGTGGAACCGCCTCTGGCAGAGGCGCTGCAGTGGCAAATTCTCACATCTTTATCGTGAATAATGGTGAGTACCTTTTGTTAAACATCTGTGCAAAATAGAAAAAACACATTTAAGACTCAAATCCTAGATTTGGGGCTGAATATGGAGCAAATGCTTCTCCGTATGGGTCGGGGGTGTGGTGTCAACGGGATGTTTGCCGGGACTTTGTCCATATGATTTCTGCGGCCCAAGACTCCCACAGCTGACGATATATGACGATAACCGAGAAGGGGACACTACAGTTATGGCCATTTATTAGTTATAACTGGTTATAAATGGGATTATACATTCTATAAATGGGGTTATAAGTACTTATAACTGGTAAATGGCCATAACTGTATGGCATCACTATGGGCACCGGACAGTTGAAATTGAATCTTCCAAAACTGTCTTCCAAGTGTACATGGTAACCATATCGGAGACTGAACCGCTATAGACCAATGTAAGCATCAGCACCATGGCGTTCGTTCAAGCGATGCCTGGAGAGCTGCTGACCATTCCGGAAGACGCTTGGAGCATGGTCCAGATGGTTTGGCCATGGGTTTTGCCCGCGAAGTTGCAGGACATTCCACCCATTTGCTAAGATCGAAAGGGACCAGGATGGATTGGCAATATTGATCCGAACTCCACATGGGGCAAACCCAAAAGGCCGTTCCCAAGATCGATGGTGTTCAATCAGAATGTACATGGTACCCATGGTAGAATGTATATAGATCATCTACTTGTATCTACTTGTACTACCAATCTACCCGCGAACATTCAACTACTTGGAAGAAAAATGTGTGTGTGTGTGAACCATCTGTAAAGATGTAAAACTTCTTTAGCAGGGGGGCTGGTTGTCCATGCAAGTACCAGCCCAACGAAGAGGCTTGCATGAGACACTGATATCACTGGAGACGTCCAGTGACGTACCTGCCAATTTTCAGAAATGGGAAGAGGCTCAACCCAAGAACCTCCATGGCGTCCAATTGAAACTTACGGTTTCTGCACTGTTGTCGCAATCTGGATTTATTTTGGTCATTTACGAATGGTTCAGCTGCATCAGAACTGTCTTCAGAGCAAGGGCGTAGAAAGTTTTCTTCAAACTGAATTTCACGCTGGGTCAACCAATTTTCCTGTCAGGTTTTATTGAATTGTTTGTGCACGTGAGATGCATTCCACAACAGAAATTCGCAATGATGTTTCTGAGCAAGTGTGTCATTCCTGCTGTGTACGTCAAGTTGGCAGGAACCCTTCGGGGAAAGCCTTTCCAGGCTAACAATTGACAGTAAAACGATGTCTGAATTTACACTTTTGAATTAGTAATTCGTCTAAGTAAAGTGAACTGCTGGCCTTTTTTCCGATTCTCACCTTGTCGATGTCGATGCGTTGAACTGCCTGCCGCTGTGCCTGGCCTCACCTTTTTTGTCGGAATTTACACTTTTGAATTTGTAATTAATTCGTGTAAGTAATGTGAAACAGTCGGCCTTTTTTCCAGGTCTCACCTGTCGATGTCGATGTGTTGAACAACATGCCGCTGTGCCTGGCTTCACCTTTTCTTTCATGATCAGGCAACAGGACATGCTTTAGGTGTGGTTTTTCTTTCTTTTTATGGTCGTTGGTGAGGTTCAAATTTGTGCATGTAATTCAGGGGTTGACTACTTAAGCCGTCCAGAGGGTTGTGACTTGAACTCAGGCCATTGAGCCTAACGAGGGGAAACTGCATGAGTTGTGGATGCATCCTGTCATCAACTAGTTCCCCATGGGTCCCCTTTTTCTTCCTTTTTCATGTGTTCTTGCGTTCTCCTCCCTCCAGGTAGGTTTGGCCCGTTGCGTGCTGAGGTTTTTGTACCGAAAGGGTTGAAATACTTATGTTGGAGTTAGAAAGGTTAAAGCATACTTAGAACAGACTTAGACTTTGAACTTAGGGTGTATTTATAAGTATGTTATAACTAGGTCATAAGTAGGCATTTTTTTTTGTTTTTTTCTTTTTTTGACGTGTTGTGTGTTGTTGGCGCGCACCTTTTTTTTCATCGAATTGAGACATTGCATTTGTCAATGCAGGCAAATTACACAATTGGAATCTTCACGGACCCATGTCGGCCTGTGAATTTGGTGCGACACACGCATCCGCAGGCAGAAGGTTTCTGCTTGGATTTGTTTCCACGCAGATCCCCAGCTTGCTCGTTTGATCAATTGCAAGGGGCGCATGTGTAGGAGCATCCCTGTTTCATCTCCGAACAGGCAGCACAAGACTTGACCGGCTGATTCTGCCCAAAAGATGACATCGTTTTGCATGATAGATATTTGTAGCAATTCAGCCTTCTTACTTGCTTTCAGAGACGAATCGTTCAGGGACTGTCGGAGCAGTTGATCCGCAGGTTTGCTTGGCTCCGAGAGTGCCCAGGTAGCCAGACCGTGATTATTCGCGCTTTCTGCCACAGTCATGAGTAACCGTGGCAACAGACTCTTTTGCAGCTGACTAGCTTCATTTAGCTTGCCAACTTGCCTGTCTACAAGCTTAGCACCTTTCATCACACGGTGTTTGCTTTCTTGAACAGCGCAGTTCGGCAAGACACCCAGCTGCAACACAGCAGTTGGGATATGGAGACGGTGATGATGTTTGGGTTTCACCGCGTCTGCACCATAGGCGTCAACAAAGCGACGTTGGTGCTCCAATTGCGCTTCATGCAGTGGTCGCACTTCTTCCACGGCAGACGGCGCCTGCCAATTCAGATGCAAGTCATGCAAATGCACGCAGCAAATTTTCAATGCATGGAAGGAAGCGCGTTCCGGAATCATTTGATCGGAGTCTTGGAGTATTTCGGCCAAGTAATACTGCAAAAGATATACAGCCCCTCGGGTATCATCTGCGTCTCCTTTGTATGTCTCTCCTTCAAACATCTTGTCTGCAAGGATGCGCTCAATTTTTGTCTTGCTTGCTTGGCCGACCTTTTGCCACCCGCTGTTGACCGCCATTTGGCGGAGTTGCTGCAGCTTGACGCCACTCTGTTCCAAAGCTTGCACCACACGAAACACTTCCGCACTAGCTACTCCATTGCAGAAATAGCAATGCATGGAGTCATTAGCTGCAGCTGATGGGGGCAACGCGGCAAACGCAGCCGCATCATTCAGCAAGCCATATGGCTCATAGTTGAGACCGTATGCCTTTTCCCATGCGTGACGTTCTTTTGGCGACAAAGTTTCCAGATGAGCATGAGCTGTCCGCCAGTCCTCATCTGGCACGCTCGAAAAGGAAGCGAAACTTGCTGATGCAATGGAATGAAAGCGATCGCTTCCATCCAGGCAATTTTTCTTCACCACGTTGGAACAGAACTGACATGGTTTCAGTCCTGATGAACCCTTTGTGCACCACGTGCCTCGCTGGGCATCTTGGTCGCTGACGAAATGGCCACGCAGCGCCATGCGGAACATATAGTGTTCTGTTCCAATCTTGATGGCCATGTCTCTTTGAGTCACATCAGTATGGCATGCCCGTAAAATGGCTCGCGTGACCGCACTGAGACCTCCTTTGATACGGTCGCATTGCAGATGTTGTATTACGCATATAGGCAACCACGCAAGTTCTTTGTATAAGTGGCCACGCATTTCTCTAAATGATAGGTAATATGCCGTTATTTTTTCTTTTTGATAACAGCCAAAATATTGCCACATGTGATTTCATCGTGATAATAGATTGGGGTGAGTAGACCGTCCCGCAGACGATGCACCATCTTCAACGCGCTTGCCCAAGCCTCGCAGACTTGAACAATCCACTGTAGCAATGTCGCAAGACGTGGAACCCATAAAACTTCTTCCCCGTGGAATCCAGGAAGCTTGACTTCTTCAAAGCAGTTCAGCGGCTCAGTCAGCCGCTCTTTCTGCACGCGTTTGAAAGCAGATTCTTTTGCTTGCGGCCCGCAGCCTTCGCGTGCTATGTTCCAGATCTGCAGGGCTGCCTGTTCGGCCACGCCGGGAACAGCTAACGCCTTTCCGAGTTGTCTTTCATCCTCCAGTGACAACGACCGCTTGCGACCCAATTTGGCCATTGTCCGCATGCCTGAGCCAAGCTTTGAAACGGCTGCGGCAGAATAACACGAAGTCAGTCATTCAAACACAAACATTACACTCATATATATACATATACTCTTGAATAATTTCTTGTCAGAGCATATAGATTGGTTTGACACCATTGTAAAAATCAGTGACGGTATATCTATAAACATACATACAGATATATGCTTATATAATTATAATCATATATATATATACCAATTTATGGAATCCAACAGCATCCCTTCCCATTTCTCCTTTTTTTTGCACCCCAATGCAAAGTCAGTGGTTCAGTTGCGGATGTGGTTAGTACCACAAACGCTTCACATGTAGTGACAGCTCTGTCAAAATCATTTCTCAGCCGTTTCAGTATTCTTTTCGGCCGCAGCTTGGTCCTTCAAAGCCTTTGTCTGAGAACGGATCTCCTTGTGCAACGTGGCCAAGTTCTTGGCGTATTCCTGCAATTCTTTTCCGTCGAAAGGCAGCTGCGACAAACGCGCACCCGTTCCTTTTGCAGCCGTGGCCAACGGCAGAACATCGATGCAAGCCTTGTTCCAGTTTTCTCCTTTCTGCAAGGCAATCTGCAAGGCACGAATGGAGTCATCCTCCGGAACACCTGCCTTTTCGGCTTGCGTCAGCACTGCCTGACTCACCTTGATGTTCTTGGCCAAAGTGCCGGTGCCTTTGGACGCAAGCTGCAGCAGGTTCTCGTTGGCCTTCATTGCCTTAGTGCACTCCCTCTGGAATTGCTTGTCCGCTTTTGCCTGTGCAGCCTTGGACGTACCCGCAGTACACGTCTTGGACCGCTTGCTGGCCGGTGCGACCTCATCCTGTGAAGCTTGTGTCACCACGTCCCAGTCATCTGCGTCTTCAGCGCCCTCAGCGCCAGCTGTGCCCCGTTTTTTCTTGCGGCTTTCCTGCGCTTCTCTTTCCTTTCGCTGCACTTCTTC